CTGTGATGCAATATTTTTTCATCCTGTCTGTTAGCACTCACAAAACTACTGTGCATACACATAAACATTTTTTTTGAGCATTGAGCAATTTAAAGTTCACATGAAATCAAAATGGACCCTCTTTACTTTGTTCACATACTAGTCTTGTGTTACAACAATTATTCTGGGCAAGTTAATCCACGGGGAAAAAATGGTTCAAAATCTGAAAATGTTCATCCCATCTGTAACAGCGTTTCTTCTCTGATGTCACATTACATATTTTATTTTAAGTTTTCATGTTTTTAAAAAAAAAAATTTAGGCACTTTAAATTTGGTGCAGTGTCACAGTGTTGTATTAGTGTTAAGCCTGCATTTAATTTTAATATCAACTAGGTACTGAAGGACCAGTAGGCCTACTTTTTGAGATCCCACGTATGGGCATCACATATTGAAGGCTGATAAAATGTGGTAAATAATGTGTTGCAGTGGGCAGTGAGGACAGCAGCCGTGAAGTGGATCACTCTCAGGAGCCTCCACCTGGCAGCAGCAGTGGCAGTGCAGGTGGAATTGCATCGTTCCGTGATGATAAGCATGAGACGGTGGTTGTTTTTTTTTTTTTTTTTTTCATTCTCCAGGCTGCCCTGAAGTCACCTATGCCCAGTCGTCTTATAGCACCTGCTCCGGCCATTAGCCAAGGTCATGTTCCTGTTCCAGCCAAAGTGTCTGGACATATTACCGTTCCCCTTGAGAGCAGCATTGCTCCAGCTTCTATACCAGTGGCAACCATCAGCGGTCAGCAGGTATTGGCACTATCAACTATGAACTCCTCCTAGACTGGGTTCTTTAGATTGCACACAGTGTGCTTATTGCGACAAACATTTTGTGACAAATAATGTTTCTTCAGGGACAGAGTAATCGGCATCAACTAATGGCCACTAACGTGCAGATCTTCAGGGGCAGTGCATCTGCGCTACAGATCGGATCTCCTGCTCCTTCCCACACTTTCACCTCCCATCTGCCCAGAGGTCAGTGATTTCATTCAAACTCAACATTATTGCATGAAGGGATAGTTCACCCAAAATGAAAACTTCCATCATTTACTTCCCCCTCATGTTGTTCCAAACCCCGTATGACTTTCTTTTTATGTAGAACACAAAAGAAGACACTTTTAAAGCTGCATTCCGTAACTTTTTTGGTTAAAAATGATCCAAAATCAATTATTGAGCAAGTACATAACCACTCAGTGTTCAAAACTATCTCCTTACCTTAGCCCGATTCACAACAGTAAGCTTGTAATAATGTTTTCTAATTTGAGTGCTTCAGGTCAATTTCCGAGTTTGCCGCCGTTCATCTTTGCGTCATTATGTCGTGTCTGTATACATAAAGAAGGAGTCCTGGTTAGTAGGCTATATGGCATGTGTGGATGCTGCAGGTGGCAGATAATTTGTAGCCTCTTCTTACAGCAGCTGGAATAATTAAACTTGTCATTTTAGAATGAGTTCTATGGAACATTATATTTTTTTGAGGTTAAAAGAACAATTTCTTTTAATGACATTCGAAAGGTATGACCGTTATTAGACTGTACAGAAATCAAAATCTAAAGTAGGACTGTCACTAACAGTTATGTTGGTAATCGAGTAATCGATTGATTATTCTGATGATTAATCGAGTAATTGGATAATTTATGGTAATAAAAATAGACCTAAGTGAACAATAGACTTTAAAATGACTTAAAATACTTATATATAATAGCAATGAGGCAGTAATTATTGGTTCAAATAAAATATCAAAAGCAAGTAATCATATGGTTTTATTGAACAAAACAATGTAATAAAACAATAAAATCATAACGTATGTACATTATGTATTATAGCAAGTGCCTGCAGTGGGCGCCAATGGCCTGGCGATTGTTTTTACACTTTCTAGTGCAATCTATTCCTTGTGTAATATTGACTAAACAACATTTAATTCAAATGTCCACTTAATCTTTAATATTTGGCCAATTCTTTATGATAGAAATGCTACAGCCACTGTAATTTCTTGAACAAGAACATGTGGACTTCAAAACATGCAAACTTTTATTTTGAAGTCGCGATGAGGAGTTAGCGTATTTAGAAAGATAATGATGTATTCTCCTGTGTTGGCATAGGTTTATAAAAGATTTACCTTATAAATCTGATAGAATGGTGCACATAGTTCCCAGATGAACAAGCAACTCAGACTCTCAGCATGTGCAAAGATGGAGTTTGAGATGGTCTGCGTATGAAAATGATAACTGTTTGTGTGGAGCAGCATTTACTGTGAACGGAGCTAGGCCTGTCGCGATAATTAAATAACCATCTAATCGCGATTATTTGATCTAACCGCGGTTGTTTCAGACAACCGCAATTATTGTGCTTTTTATACGAGACAAGGGGGAGTCATGCACCAAAAGAAACAGAAGAGCACCAGTTTGCTTTTCATGCACTGTTACGGAGCCGCTCTGAGATGCACACAACCTACACGCATATAAATAAAGCGCATGTGAAACCCGCAATACATATATTTATTTAATTGAACTGCAGCCTTTGTGAATTCACAATAGCACTATGCTTTATTATGATTTTAAATGGTTTTCATCCTGCCTTATAAAACGGTCTAGTAATGCTTTTCATGGATTCTCGTCCTTGGAATGCGCCACTTACGGTATTTTGCCGCTTAATTGACACGGGCAAAATGCAGTAGAGGATTTTTTATAATCAAATACTCAAATTTATTAAAGGAATCATAACAGTATCGTAATACACACTAAATGCATGCAGTCACGCAATGCTGATGTTGTTAACACTAACTGATGAGAACAAAGTATAACAATAATAATTTGCACAGTTTGACGTGATCTGAGCTGCGATCGTTAGATTTAATCACCATTGGTAGCACGATTTATTGTAAAAAATAAAATAAAAAATACTGAAACAAGGGGGTGATCCTTTTTCCAACTCAGTGATTCTGTTTTTTTTTTTGTTTTTGTTTTCTGGCATGTTGGTGTTATATCTTTCACTTGGATGTTATAAGTTGCACTGAGTAAATACAGCTGGATAAAACAAAAACTGTGTCTGTCTTCATTTCAGGCTGCAAAGCAACAAAATGTGATTATTTTAAAAGGGGGTGATTTCTTTTCTATACCTACTGTAAATTGACGTGCTAGACATGCTGGGTTTAAATTATGTTCCTTCCTATTTTTTTTTTCTTCTGGTAGAATGACAAAACATTTTAAACTGGTTATAATATATTGTCTAACTTTTACTTGGTATTCTATTTACAGTAGGCTATTAATTTTGCCCCTATAGGTCTTGAACTCTATTTTCAATAAATAAATGACTGTATTGGCCAATGTTGACTTGAATTCTTGTCACGTTTTATGCGACAGTCTAATGTTAAAGTATATGATCTTTTTTCAGCTGTATAGCATTGGATTTGGCTGTTAGAATTAACAGATTTTTTTTTACACAGGACTTGTTACTTTTACACTAGTCGACTACAAAATTTTCATTGAAACATAACTGAAATTAGTCAATTTAAGCTAAATGCAAAAATTGTTTTCAAATGTCTAGTTTTCTGGATGTTATGCACTTCTGTTTGATGCGAGAAATGACGCATTGACACCTTTACATGATGAAAGTGACTTTTCTGGTTTGTTTGTTTGATACAAACTTTAGCCTACTGTAATAGTAATATCTGTGCCTGTGTTTGGTGTTTCAGGTGCAGCTGCTGCAGCTGTCATGTCCAGCACTAAAGGCCCTACTGTTCTCAGACCAGCCGGAGGAGGGAACGCAGGCCCTAGCCAACCTGCAGCTGTGCAGCACATTATACATCAGCCTATTCAGGTGCAGAGGCTTCACAACTTAATGATCACTTACAACTAGGTAGGGTTGTGACTAGGGATGTCAACGATTAATCGATGATCGATTAATTGTCGATAAGAGATGCAATCGATTAAAGCTATCGATGGTCGATTAAGTCGTTTAATTTTGGGCTGCGTGCGGCTCATGCGAGCGGCTGTGAGTGACGGTATATAAATGCATCATCATTCACTCATAATTACAAATTAAGCTTTTAATGTGATTTAAACTTTAAAAGTACATTAAAATAGAAACAACACAAAGTTCTTCAACATGGAATGCAATAGAAATGTAGTAACAGTCATTTCCCCAGATAATTCTTTCATATTTGAAACAATTAGGTGAAGGTTGCAGGGCTGCGGGGCACTGCGGGGGAAGGATAGGCTATTAATTCCTACAACTTGTTAATTCGTTCCTACGATTTATTAATTTGTGGCCACTGTCCATGTTTCATTAATTTTGTTCCTTAAATAACCCATGATTTAACTAAATTGAGGGAACAAATTAATACATCGAACAAATTCTTAATTCATGGCCATGCAATCTTTTATTTCCCTTCCACATGTTTACCACAATAAGAGATGCGAAAACAGTGATAAAAAGTGAATGACAATAAAATAAACCTGCGAAATTAGAGGGTTAGACGGTGAGGATTTAGGAAAAGAAACAATGCCTAAATATTATTGAATTTGTGGAAATTCGTGACCAAGAACAAAGCCGCATAAGTGTAGGCTATATGGGCTCGATCGGCATCCAAAAGCATGGTTGCGATGTAAGATTTTCCAGCTAACCATCATAATCAGAGTTTATAATTTGTAAATAAATAATTACTGGATTCAAAACAGCAATTAAAAGGCGCTGTGACCGACACTGACTATACGTTTTCCCGGAGCATTCAATGCTGTCACTAAACGCTGATGCCACAACTAGAGCATCGTTCACAAGCTTCTGCATGGACCTAACTAGCCTAGGCACAGCTCAAGCCCTGGGACAAAATGGGATGCTTTAAGAAAAATGTATAGCCTGTGTAAGTAATAGGGCTAAAATAAAAACAACAATTTGTTTTCATTAAAAAAAAAAGCGAA